GCCTACATGTGTTGGTTTACTCAATGTTGCCCCGACTCAGTTGCATCCGAATGCCTGGGCCGCGATGCAGGCGTTTCGGAATCTCTGTTTATGCTTGGGTTTCACTCCCCGACCCCTCGCCTTTCTATATTATTATACTTGTCGACCGAGCAAGCCGGTGAAGTGGGTGTCTCTGTCTCGGGTGCCGAAGCGAGGGTTTCTTCGGGCCTTCACTTCTTCGTACAAAGGGTTTAAGAGTGGGTTTTTCAAGGTTCGTTGGGGGCCGGAGTTAAAACATTGTTTTTATGATCGTGAGGGCAACCCATTGTTTCCCTTCTATTGGACGAAGCGTCCGACTCGTTACGAGGCGTGTTCCGTGTCTGGACTTCCCGACGAGGACAAGGAGATCGTGGACCTACTGGATCAGTTACCGAAGGGCTTGCCTGTCCGAGGCCTTTTGGATATCTTTGAAACATCTCATTTCGAGATGGCTCTAATCGGGATGAGTTTTCAAGTTTCGGTTGTTTAGCAGTTTTGAATTGATGTTAAGATTTGTGTTGTTGTAGGGTTAATGGCTGGGGGTAAACTGGACGTGATCGCAATGCTCGCCAAGAGGGCGAAGGAGGCCAAGGAGAGCGGGAAGGTGCCACCGGCACGGTCGGCCCTTAAAGTGCAACGGGATAAACCTGCTCATGTGCTGGTTCCTGTGGTCGACCCCAAGAAAAAGGGGAACATGTCTCGAGCGCGGGCTGCGGAACAGAATATTGAGTCGGAAAGGCCGAGCTCCTCCTCCAAGCACCCTAAACAATTATCTTTGGAGCAAGCAGGGTGCGGTGCCTTCGCCATTCCGGCCGTTGTGGTCGGGTCTAACTTCTTGGCATCGGGAGTTCAGGTTGAGAATTTGGTCAGTCTCGACCTTACCACTGGCGGAGGACTTCAATATTTGGAGGGAATGTCCGTAGAGGCCGAATACAAGCTCTTCTGTGAGCTTGATGCTCGGACTTCTCTTGTGGCAAAGCATGTCATGATGAGATCGACAGTCTCGGCTGAGAGGCTTCAAGCACGCTTGAAGGATGCCGAGAATACAGTGAAGGATGCTCTGAGTGCCAACGCCAAGGCCACAGAGTCGGCTGAGGAGCTGAAGAAAGCGGTCGATGCCTATCGTAGGGAAGCCGACGACCTAAAGTTGGCTATGCAGAAGAGGAAGGCCGAGTCTGCCACCGCTGCTGGTGAGATCAATCGGCTAAAGGAGGAAGCCACCAAGTTCGAGGCCGAATCCACCGAGCAGATCCTCTCCCAGCACGACGTCGGTTTCAACCATGCTGTCCAGCAAGCTTATCAGTTCTGTGACGTCCCGGCTGATTTTCAATTTGACGTTAGCCAGGATTTCTTGAATGACAAGTTTATCAGCTTTGCCAAGTTCCCCCAAGGGGCTCAACCTGATGTCGAAGCTCCTCGGCAAGCTGAGTTTGGTCGGGCTCCGGTGCACCAGACCGAGGAAGAGGACCCGGTTATAGATGTGGTGGGTGGCGAGGACCCACCAGGGTCGGCAGCTGTATAAGGTAGGCTAGGGTTGATCTTTTTTGCCTTTTCATTCTGTGCCTGGGCCGTTGGCGCTTTTTGTAAGCCCAGCCTCTAGTGTCGGTGTATCGACTCTCTATTTTTGTAAGTAGCCATTTTGACCGGCCGTGATTAATGAAACTTTGAAGTTTGTCTTGCTTAAGATTTCCTTGCTTTAATTTTACCAAGTTACCACTAATATAAACCGACTTCACTATGATCGATGCGGACGAGTTGTATGTTTAAACGTAAGCCGTTAACGTTTCGCTTATGAGTATTCGGGTTACAATATTTTGGTCTTGACATGGTTTGAAATTTATTTTGTAATTTGGACTAGTCGGTTTCGGGAGTAAAACCTGTCGGGCCTGCGTGCGCGTCGAAGTGTTCGGCCGAGTGGGTAGTTGGTAGGGAAAACTGTTGGGCACGATTACACCGTTTGTGACTTCATCCTGGGAACACGTAGTGTTCGGCCTAGGTACATCCTTAGCCGAGGGGAGTACTCGGGAGGGGACCTGTTAGGCGCGGGCGTATAAACGAGAGGTGAGCCTGGTGTAGCTCGGCGACGGAGGCGTTTGTGCAGAGTACTCGGCCCAGGTGCGTCTTTAGCCGAGGAGGATACTCGGGAGGGAAACCTATTCGGCGCGAGTGCACGTTTGAGTGGTCGGCCGAGGGTTGCTCGGCGAGGGTACACGGGAGTAGTACTCGGCCTAGGTACATCCTTAGCCGAGGAGGGTACTCGGGAGGGAAAGCTGTTAGGCTCGATTGTACGTTGGAGTGGTCGGCCGAGGGTTGCTCGGCGTCGGTGCGTGAGAGTAATGTTCGGCCTAGGTACATCCTCAGCCGAGGAGGGTACTCGGGAGGGAAACCTGTTAAGCTCGATTGTACGTTGGACTGGTCGGTCGAGGGTTGCTCGACGTCGGTGCGTGAGAGTAATGTTCGGCCTAGGTACATCCTTAGCCGAGGAGGGTACTCGAGAGGGAAACTTGTTAAGCTCGATTGTATGTTGGAGTGGTCGGCCGAGGGTTGCTCGGCGTCGATACGTGAGAGTAATGTTCGGCCTAGGTACATCCTTAGCCGAGGAGGGTACTCGGGAGGGAAACCTGTTAAGCTCGATTGTACGTTGGAGTGGTCGGTCGAGGGTTGCTCGGTGCCAATACGAGTTAACCGAGATCAGACCTGCATAATCGTGACCTATACGTATGCATAATATTAAATAAGGAGAGAAATGATTTTCAAGTTTTTGCATTAATGAAGTGCCTCGTTAAAAATCTTGCCGACCCAAAACCCTCCTTAGGGAAAAAAGAGTCGGTCAAGGAAAAGAGTGCACTAGTACATCAGCTGTAATACATCTTTAGGTGAGTGGAATTCCAAGTCCTAGGGATAGGTTCTCCGGACAGGTGCTCCAGCTTGAACGCTCTGTTGTTCAGGTTGTGTCGGACTCGGAAGGGCCCGTCCCAGTTTGGGGCGAGCTTCCCTTATCTCGGGTCTTTTCTCGCTTCGCCTGTGGCTCTCCAAACGAGATCTCCTTCTCGGAATTCTCTAGGATTTACCTTGCTGTCGAACCTTCTCTTGTATCGTTGTTTGGTGGCCTCGACCACTACCAACGCTCGGTCTCGAACTTCTTCTACCGCCTCCAGATTTGTTCGGGGCTCGGCTCCGTTGTTTGCTTCATCGAAGTGGGCTTGGCGGAATGATGGTTCCCCGATTTCCACTGGGATCATCGCATCGGACCCATAAGCCAGGCGAAAGGGGGTTTCTTGTGTAGTCGATTGAGGAGTGCATCGGTATGCCCAGAATACCTCGGGTAGTTGCTCGGCCCATGCTCCCTTTGCTTCCCCTAGCCGTTTCTTTAATTCTGCCAGGATGACCTTGTTGGCCGACTCGGCCTGCCCGTTTGTTTGTGGGTGCTCTACCGAGGTAAACTTGTGCTGTACTCCTAGGCCGGCTAAGAACTCGTTGAGTTTTCGATCGGTGAATTGAAGGCCATTGTCGGTTACCAGTGTATGCGGGACGCCAAAACGAGTGATGACATTTCTCCATAAGAACTTTTGGACTTGGAGAGCAGAGATGCATGCCAAGGGCTCGGCTTCAATCCACTTAGTAAACAAATCCACAGCGACAATGAGGAACTTGCATTGCCCCTTGGCGATCGGAAAAGGTCCGAGTAAGTCGGCTCCCTAGGTAGCGAACGGCCACGCGGGGGGGATGCAATGTAATTGCTTGGCCGGCTGGTGGATCAGGTTCCCATGTTTCTGACACGGTAGACACTTCTTCACAAATGTTGCGCAGTCGGTGCTCATGGTCGGCCAATAGTATCCGGCCCGTAAGAGTTTGGAGATAGTCGTCCTTGCCCCTGAGTGCATGCCGCATATCCCCTCGTGCACCTCCCTCATCACATAATCGACCTCATGGGGGTCAAGGCACTTTAGCAGAGGGGTAGAGAAGCCACGTTTGTACAGTTGCCCGGCTATGATGACATATCTACTAGCTTGAGTTCTCAACCATTTGGCCTCGGCCGGGTCGTCCGGTGTGATTCCGTTAATGAGGAACGTTTTGATTTCGGTTCGCCAGTCTGGGAGGTCGTTGGGGTCGGTGCGGCCGACACTGACACTTGCTATCATTTCTGTCTCGACACTAGGGTGGTCGATCTCCTGTTGGATAATGGTTCTCAAATGACCTGGCTTTTTGGTTGCAGCTAGCCTAGCCAACTGGTCGGCTCGAGTGTTGTTTTCGCGTGGGATGTGTTCGACCAACACCTCCTAGAAGTTTGCCTTCAATCTTTGATAGGCATGGTAGTATTTCATCATGTTGTGGTCTTTCACTTGGAAGTTACCCCCCACTTGCTCTGCCACCACTTTGGAGTCCGTCCGGCATCTGATTCTTGATGCCCCCATATCCTCGGCCAACCTTAAACCGGCCAGTAGAGCTTCATACTCTGCCTGATTGTTTGAAGCTTTGAACTTGAAGCGCAAAGATTGTTCTAAGGTCATCCCTTTTGGTCCTTCTAAGATCACACCGGCCCCACTCCCCTGGCCGTTCGAGGAACCGTCTACGTCGAGGGTCCACCAATGCTCTTCGAAGTGGCCGTGCGGGTGGAGTTCATTAATGAAGTCTGCCAGGCATTGGGCTTTGATCGGCCCTCTTGACTTGAAGGTGATGTCAAACTGTGACAGCTCCACTGACCAAGCCATCATCCTCCCAGCGAGTTCGGGCTTGCCTAGGACCTTCGAGATCGGGCAATCGGTGTACACAACTACCCGGTGGCTTTGGAAATAATGCCTTAGCCGCCTAGAGGCGTGTACCAGGCAGAGTGTAACTTTTTCAATCAGCTGGTACCAGGTCTCGGCATCTTGCAAGAGTCGGCTGACAAAGTATATTGGGGTTTGGGTTCCTTCTTTTTCTTGCACCAGGACCGAGCTGATCGCTTCGTCAGACACCGCCAAGTATACCAGGAGCATGTTTCAAGGATTAGGCCTCGTTAGGATTGGCGGCGTCGCCAATGTTGCTCTCAGGGCTGTGAAGGCTTCTTCGCAGGCCTCGTCCCATGAAAAGGCCGAAGCCTTTCGCAGGAGCTTCGTCATGGGGCTGATTTTGTCAGCCAGGCGGGGGAGGAATCGGGACAGGGCTACCAATCTTCCTGAAAGTCGTTGTAATTCCTTGAGGTTACTCGGACTTCGCATGTCTAATACGGCCTGGCACTTGTCTCGGTTTGCTTCTATGCCTCTCGCCGATAACATGAACCCCAGAAATTTGCCTCCCTTGACCCCGAAGGTACATTTCTCGGGGTTAAGCCTCATGTTGTGCTTTCAGAGTTCCCCGAAGATTTCGGCTAAGTCCGCTATGTGGTCGGTGAGAGAGTTGGACTTGACTACCATGTCATCCACATAAATTTCGATGTTTCGGCCGATCTGATCCCGGAACACTTTGTCCATCAGCCTTTGGTATGTCGCTCCAGCATTTTTCAGTCCAAATAGCATGACTCGGTAGCAAAAATTGGCGCTCTCGGTGATGAACGCCGTTTTTTCTTCATCGGCAGGGTGCATCTTTATTTGGTTGTAGCTAGAGTAAGCGTCCAGGAAACTAAACACAGCATGCCCAGATGCGCCGTCGATGAGCCGGTCGATGCAAGGGAGTGGGTAAGCATCCTTCGGGAAGGCTTTATTGAGGTCGGTGTAGTCGGTGCACATTCTCCACTTGCCATTCGATTTTTTGACCAACACCATGTTGGCTAGCCAGGTGGTGTAGGTGACTTCTCGGATGAACCCTGCTTGTAGGAGTTTTTGTACCTCGGCATTGGCGGCTCTCCTCTTCTCATCACCCATTTTCCGCTTCTTTTGAGCGACAAGTCGGACATCTCGGCATACGGCCAGTCGGTGACATAAAAACTTTGGATCTATACCCGGCATGTCTGACGTCGTCCATGCAAAGAGGTCTCGGTTATCCCGGACTACACACTTGACTCGGTTTACGACGGCCTCGCTCAGTTGAGACCCAATGTTGGTGGTCTGTTCCGGCGTTCGGCCTAATTGAAAAGGAACGAGGTCTTCAGCAGGCTCAATGCGCTCCTCTTCACCTAGTTGGGGATCGAGGTCTATGTCCTCCGTCATTGCCTGCCTGACGACATGTACACCTCTCGCGGACGTCGGGGGGTCGGCAATAGGTTTCACCTTTAGGCTCGAGAGGTAGCACTCTCTCGCCGTCTTCTGATCGGCATGAACAGTAATTACCTGACCATCCCTTGATGGAAATTTCATGCACAGGTGAGGGGTTGAGATAATGGCCCCCAGTGCGTTGATCGAGGGCCGGCCTAGTAGGATGTTGTAGGACGTGCTCGCGTGTACCACAATGTAGCGAATTTTGATCTCTCGGGCAGACTTTTGGTCGAAGCCGAAGCGTGTGTACAGATCAATGCACCCTCTCGTCATGACTCTCTCGCTCGAGAATCCTACCAGTGGCTCGTGGTACGGTTCTAAGCTCTCCTCTGGGATCCCCAGTTGCATGAAGGTGTTCCAATACAAGATGTCAGCGGAGCTTCCCTGGTCGATCAGGGTCTTCTTCACAATGCAATTATGAACCGCAACAGAAATCACCATGGGATCGTCCTGAATGGGGTCGACGCCACGGAAGTCTCGATCCGAGAACGTGATCGGAGGCATCTTCGGTGTTCTCCGCTGATTTACATTGTTCACCGATCGTACAGCTCGGAGGTGTCTCCTTCGTGCCGAAGATGTAGAACCTCCCCCGGCGAAGCCTCCAGCTATTGTGTTGATAACTTTCTTTGGCCGGTCATTGTCTTCTCGAGAATGCCTAGAATAGTCTCTCTTTCGTCAGACCGAGATCGGCGGCGTCGGTCCTTTGTGGGTGCCACTTCCCGAGCGTGGTAGTCTCTCCCTCTCGACTGATTGTTTTGAGGGGTGACAAAGCTTGTGAGATGACCTTGCTTCACTAGGTCTTCAATCTTGTCCTTTAGGGCCGAGCACTCTTCTGTCGAGTGCCCTCTGTTTCGGTGGAACCTACATGTCTTAGCTTTGTCGGCCCTCGGGGGGGTGTTCGCCCTTTTCGGCATTACCAAGATTTCGGAGGCGACGGCTTGTTCCATCACCTTGGCCCTACTTGCATTCAGTGGAGTGTACGCAGTGTAACGTGGTCCTCTCGGGGGGCGAACATTAACTTGTTCGGTATGGGTCTTTTTCATCGGCTCTCGGCCGGATTCCTTTCGGCCAAAACCTTCTTCGGCTCTAGCCTGATTTCAGGTTTCCGCCAGTTCCTCCATTTGCATGTACTTCTCGGCTCGTCGTCTAAGGTCGTTCATATCAACCGGTGGTTTTCTGCACAAGCTATTCACGAAAGGGCCCCGCCTGAGGGTAGTGCTCAGCCGGTCCAACGCCACTGCGGGGTTTAGATAGCTGATCTCTATGGCTATCTTGTTGAATCGGTCCATGAAACTTCTCAGACTTTCTTTTTTCTCCTGACGAACTCCCGCCAGGGCCAACGAGGTCGTTCTATACGGCTTGCTCGTCACAAATTGGAGAGAGAATTGGGATGACAATTCATTGAACGAGTCGATGGACGCGCTCGGTAACCTCGTGAACCAACTCAAGGCTTTTCCTTTCAGCGACGTGGGGAATATTCGGCATAGTGCGGAGTCGTCCTGAGTAGAGAGAGTTGCTTGTGTTAGAAAAACATTCAAGTGCTCTTCGGGGTCGGTAGACCCATCGTACTTCTCTATTGGTAGGCTCTTCCAATGGTCCAGTAAGGTCGCCTCCATTATTCTCCTGGAAAAAGGATGCCTCAGGGAATGGACGGTGGTGTCGGCCTTGTTGCCTATCAGGGAAGTAACCGGTGTTCGGGTGACCTGGTCGGTTGGGGCATGATAGGCTGACTCTTCCGCGAGTGTGGGAGTAGACGGCACACAAGTTTGATTCAGGTTTCGGAGCTCTGCGTTTTGTCGTCGTAGTTCGGCTAGTTCCCGGGCATCAGCCTCCCTTTGCCTTCGGATGGCCGCCATTTCCTCGTGCAATGCGCGCAGGTCGTCTTGGAGGTCGGGTTGGGCTTGACCGGTATTCGGCCAGACCTGTTGCACCACCAGCTCCGGTTGGGTCTGGGGCATTCCGTACGGGTAACGTTCTTGGTTGGTCATGACGGGGTTACTTTCGAGGTTAGGGATCGGTTGAGTCGTTGTTGATTGTCCCTTGCGCGTAACTACCATATCTTGGTCTCAGTCGTAGAGTTTAAAAGGGGCTGAAACGTCTCTTCGGCCCCACGGTGGGCGCCAAATGTTCCTGTGTTAGGATACACACTTCACTTATCCTTGTTGTAGCGGGTCTGATCCTAGGACTCGGTCTTCTCGTTCCTATCCGGGTAGTCCGATGTGAGGGGGGGTGTGCCTGCAAAGACACTCCAACGCTCAAGTAAGTGCTCGGCGTAATAAATGCGGTAGTTGAAAGTTAGTTACGTACCTCACAGGGGGTCTATTTATAGTATTTCTTGTTGGGCCGTGATTAGGGACTGGGCACCGGATAATTAGGGGGTTAAACCGAGATATTATGCAAATTAATCTCTCCATAATCATCCTAGCGAAGATTGGTGTCTGAGCCGAACATACCGACTTGTTCCCATTTATGGGTAATTGGCATGCTCGGGCTTCGGTTCATTCGGGTTTGGGTGAATGTGTTCGGACCATTCGGTTACGTGGTCTGGTGTTCGGACCGTTCGGCCTCATACGGTACAACTTGCATCAACGGAATAAGCTCTATAATTTGCATCATGTTTCTTTTAAAACCTTTTTAGTCTTTTATTTTCTCAACAATGGTTGCTCGTAGCATGATTACTATGAGTTAAACGACAATGACGTGTTTCAACCCAAGAATTAATCCGTTGTAAGACTTATTCATATTTGATGAGTTTTCTCAAATACTAATACATATAATTAATAGTGAAAATTAAAGTCAAATAAAACCATGAGTCACACAAATAATTGACTTATAACTAGAAAGGCTACCAAAATAAATACAGCGCACCCTATTGAGATGCTTGGTCAATTAATTGTCTTACTTTCTTCAGTTTTCAAACACACGATGACAATTTATTTTTGACATGTTTCAAGAAAAACATTCTCTTTTTATTCCAAGTTTACTCTTTATCATGTGCACTAGTCTATGAGAAAAGCAACTTCTTTTTGTTTAATTAATATGCTGCATCTTGGTACCAACGAATTGACCATACCAATACACAATTTACATTTAACCAAGTAATTCAAGAATATTGAACCTACATTTGTATTTTTTTTTCTTATTTGTGATTCATTTATTCCCTATGACACTTTCCTGCGAATTATATAGATATGTGCTGAACCGGAAGGTCAAGTGATTTTATATCCATATATTAATAGTTGGGCATACGAAAATTTTCTTAAACTTAGTGCTCACCGTAAGCTAGCTAGAAAGCTATCAAACTAAATAAAAATAAATAAATTTTTTTTTTTTATTTTAAAAATAAACTAAGTTGAATGTACATCATGAATGCATCACATGTGTAATTTATGTGTCAATATACACAGCTAGCATTTTTAAAATGTGTTCAATTTAAAACAGTGCCTTTTTCGGTAATTTGGTTAAACATCCTTGGTAATTCCAAAATAGACGCAAGTTTCTCTTTTACTTTCACATATAAAAACAATTTCTTTAAACAGGCAAGTCTTACTTAAATAACAAAAATTATAAAAGTGTAAATAACTTGCAACTCAAGAAACACGCAATGTCAATAATTAAGAAAATTACACTATTTAAGAAAATTGAACCTACATTTATCTCTTTTTTTCTTGTGTTGTAGCTTTATTCATTTATGCCCAATGACTCTTTC